TTTGGTGCGAAGGCTGACGGAATGGCGGCGCTTCCATTTCTGGTACCAGCCGAGGGACGCTTTAAACTCGGGATCCTCGCTGAATTCCTTTGCCTTTAGACGTAGCATCAATCCGCTAACAGCTATTCCTATGCAAAACGAAGTGAGAACTCAGAGAAGGTTACGAAACGATCGAAAGGTTAAAAATTTGACACGTCTTGCATTTGTTTTGACATTTGTGAAAACTGGCCAATGAGAGTCTTTCATACACAATGTTGTCACATGATACTACGATAGTTTTGAGACTCACACATTCAACAACACATACTCACTCTGCAATCAGCTGATTGATTTATTTCGTGATCTTGTTTCTGTTGTTTTAAGATACAAAATCAATGCTCGACAAAAAACTTACCTTGGGTTCTCTGCTCTGTAAACCATTCCAGTATTCTTTGATCGAGCTCCGGATATTCGGCGTGAAGCATCCCATCGTCTTCCGTTTCGCTGATAATTTAATCTCGCCGTTATAAAGGTTCGCTTGATCTCAGGCTTGATCTTTCCTCCAGCGACGGACCATGGACTCACTGATGCCATATTCTCTGGCGATTTCAGAGTTATTTTCAACAGCTTCTGCTTCGGCGACTATTGTAAGTTTAAGCGCGAGGTTGTATGACGTGCAACGAGCTTTGGGCATGATGACAACTTGACTTGAAATAAACGATTGCGAACACGAGATTGTTTGATAGACGCTACGGATGTCTAGGTACTGGTGATGCCGCTTAACAACACAGTTAGTCTTAAATTCATTTTTTGGATCACATTAATTCATCTGAGTTATGATTCATTGCTTTTCAATTGAATAGTTACTTACGGTTAATACTAATAGTATTTATTAATTCGCGTGTGCTTTCTAAGAGGGAAGCTGTTTGCATAATAAATCATCATTGCATCTCTTGTATACGCGCGTGTGTGTTATCGTCTAAGCCTCATTTATGACAATCAATGTGATTTTTTCCGAAAATGTTAGGTTTTCCCGTAGTTACCAATTCAGTCTTGTAATAATGAATGGGTCTCGGCTTATAGCCGGGTGTTTTCGATTTATTTTTGGTTCTCGTTATGCCGAGTCTACACGTTCAAAGTTTGGGGTCTCGGCTTATAGTCGAGATCGGCTTATAGTCGAATAAATACGGTAGCCTAGTAGTAGCTCAACCAATCAGAATGCAGCATTGATAATAGAGCCCGGTGGCCCCTGGTGCCCAACGTTTGCTCTTGGGCGACTAGAAAATCTCAGATGTATTACAGCAAGGAGCCCCAAAGTGTGACCACTTTTAATTTATTCACATTCTTTCATACAGATTTAATCCAATCAGAAGCCAGCTGGAAACTGTCCTCAACTTCTGATTGGTTAACGTCTGCATGAAAGAATGTGAGTTTATTGAAGGAGGTCACACTTTTTGACTCCTTGCTGTAAGCAGTCAGCTGGCCATTCCCCAAATTGACCTCTTGATACAGGGTTGACTATATCTGTCAGCAGTTGTTTAAAAACATCATTAACTTTGTGATCTGCTTTGCACATTATTTCTTGCAAATGTCTGAGAGTCACTGTTTGGTTCCAGCCACTGTACATTCCCTTTATTTGATGTAGTGAGGTTTTTCACTGAATGTATACAGGGATCCATATATTTCATTTTTTCTCAGAGTCGTCAGCCGAGCAAGTAAGCCTGACAGCATACTTGCCCAGTTACAATTTGGGTTGCCTGGACAAAAGTGCAGCCAATCATATTTAACAAATAGATTCCATGTTGCCATGCGTCTGTTCAGTAATAGATCACAGATGACATCAAAATGTGGTAAAAATAAAGAAGTGGTACACGAGCCACAGGCAAATTTGTCACTGATGTTTTTACCACATTTTGATGTTCTCTGTGATCTATTACTGAACAGGCCCATGGCAACATGGAATCTATTTTGTTTTATACAATGACCAGAAAAGAAAATAGACCGATACACATACCTACCTCATATCGCTGGACTGTTCGAGGATTTATGCTAGTGTAGGCATTTTTTATGTCCCAAGCACTACTTTTCGTCTCTTCTTCTTCTTTTTTTCTTTATCTTACTTGTATACAGTTTCTTCGAAAAGTTCAGTTTTCAACTTCTTTTCTTGCTCAAAGCAGAATAATGCTGAAAACATTTTGCAAAACAGCGAGTCTCTCGTAGCGATGACACATTATGGCAACTGTTGTGAAGATTTCTTGTAGTTTAGGGATTCCTAAGTACTCAACAACTCTTTTTGTTCCCGTTCCTCCATTTTTCTTCTTTGTAAATAGCTCCTGCTAAACTTTTTTTGAGGCTTTCACTTGCTTTAATCTGAAATAATCTCACAAACATTTTCAAAACCGCTCGCCATGTTGAACAAAACAACAAGTTTCCCATGATGTCATCTATGTATCTGTACTCTTATAGGTCATAGGCAATGACCAATCACCGCGCGTGTAGCATTCACATCATTGTACAAAAAAGAATGGTGAAAACATTGTGTGCAACTTGAGCATTTCTGATTAGCATTTTATTTCCATTATAGTTGCTAAAAAAGGGTTTAACTGAAATCTTAAGTACAACAGGCTACAGACCTAGGCTAAAAACAGTTTATTTATGTTTTACAAGTAGCCACAGTCGGTCAGTTTGCCATGAAGGCAAGACAGTGCGTTTACGTTTTCCACCGTAAAAGGCAGTGGCTCCTGCTTCCTTTTTTTTTCGTCAGAGGCAAAGAAATGTCTTCTAAATGTCACATCCTGATGTGTATAAGGCACCGGTCTCTGCTTCACATTTTTTTCCACTGAAAGGAACAAAACACCTTCTAAAAAATGCCACATCTTGATGCCATGTTGTCACGTTTTCTTCAGTGGCCTCTGAATGCAGTACTTCACAAAAAACTGAGCCTGCAATTGTTTTGTAGAAAATACTGCACCATCAAAGATGGAACCCAAACTTATGATTTCATTGCAGACAAAAGCTGCTTGTTATTCCTCATTAAGAACATAGGGGAAATGTATAAAATCATATAAAAATTTTTGAAAATATTTTGTGGTTGAGTAAAACCTCACTTGTCGGAAGAGTGACTTTTGAAGTTAACTTAATCGTCTGTACGGGATTGTAGTCGTCTGGGACGAGTGGATGACTGGGATATGGATCCCTGTGTATAGCAGTCAGAGCTTCTGCAATTTTCATTTTCTTAAGTGATTGCTATTTTAAAATTCATTGTTGCCTAGCTTTGACCTAAAATTACTTGTGATTTTGTATCTTTTTGTTCTTTGCATTGCACCATTTTCACTGCAATACATGTCACTTATGGTAATATTTGCCTGTTCTTCGCTTTGTTCTCAATGCATGTGGGGTATGAGAGACTTAGACAGGAAAACTCCTGAGTAAGCTTGATGATTCACTGTTTCCAGAAGTTGCCCTTTAAAGTATACTGATGTGTACATGTACTTTAATTTGGGGCTTAGTTTCCTGTGGACCCTGAGGATATAACACCGACTTGGAAGGGTCTAGTTGCATTTGCCAGGTTTGAAACCATGATAGGGATCCAATTTAACTGTCAGAATGTTAAGGCTGTACAGTTGTCAGCAATCTTTTCCACTCTCTTCATCATAGGTCCTCTTTTTGTATTGATCAGTCCCTGGACAAAGGATACTATTAAAACTATGAAGTCCATACCCCATGTCTATCCATGTAAGTAAAAAATTTTCCCTTTTATGGTACTCAGAAAATAATGCTCTAGAACTAAATTTGTATAGGTAATCATACAACTATGAGTTCAATTTGGGATTTATTTTTACAAGTGTGTTTTTCAAAAAGTTTCAAAATTGCATAACTCCATAAGCCGAATGCAGTTTGAACTTTTTTGAAACATTCATGAGTGCACATATAAATCAAAATTAGTGGAGTCTGTTTATAACAGCCACCCTGGAGACCCTAGAAACCACCTGCTTAGAGCAAGGAGTCCATCTTTAGTCATGTTGTGGTTACCTGTGAGTTCTAGTGCATGGTTGGTTTTTAATTGTTTCTGTTGTTCATTAGCCAATCACAGTACTCCATTCTCACATTGAACCTTGGTTTTATCTTTGACATCACCTTGACATCATCATCATCATCATCATCATCATCATCATTGAAAGTGTTGCATCTCTTTATTGTCCTTTTTATTACCATTACAAGAAAAACCCATTGTAGCCAACATATTATTTTGCCAGTCTGTTGTAGGTTCCACTGCAGAAGAAAGAAATTGCAATGAGATTATTTCCCACTGGTTGTTTGATGCACTTTTGACATAAAACTATTGACATTAATTTATTCACATAATTAGTGTTCATGAAACTAGTTTCTCACATAGACCATAACATAACCATTGAGCAGCTCGACATTTTTAATGTATATATATATATATCTATATATGTTGTAGTTTATTTTTTATCTCACAGGTAATTTTTGTTTTTCTTTTGTTTCAACTTCATTGGCCTACATTACCATACCCAAAAACAAAAGAAAAAGAAAAATTAGGGGAGATAGAAAGGTATCTACAACATATAATTATATTTGGTGTTAGCTGGGGTCATTTTAGGGCAACTACTACATTTAGATGTGTTCGAGAAAGTACTTATTACAAATTTGGTCAAAATTCTTTAATTTTCAAAATCTTACCCATGAGTTATCAGATAACTGCAGTATCTAATGTTTAATCCTTTCTCCTTTTATTTTACAGATCCACAATTGGAGAATGAAGATCTATCTAACATTGATGGTCAAGGAAACAAAATCTATCCAGAATTTCCTATCTAAGAAACCAATGGTCTTTTTGTACAGACTACCTGTAATAACTATGTGAAAATCCCTCTGTTGCATATCATGTTTGGTTGTTTTGAGTGGAAATTTGTTGTTTGTTCATACCTAAGTTCTTGTCAAATTGACTGTAATAATAAGGTTCCTGATGATTTCAAGAAATAAAGGTAACATTTTAGAAAAGAAATGAGCTCGCCGCCATGAGTCTCGGCTCTGTAGCTCATTAGTTAGGGCACCTGACCTTGTCTAGGTGGTTTCCTGTGAGAAACGTAGACATTTTTAAATCCACACTTGTGACACACTGGTAATGAACATTGGTCATCTATCCCGTGGATAAAGGTCTTGACATTAATTTGCAAGCTACTTGGCAGCTGACCAACCAAGTGAACTTAAACAGTGTTTAGCAACCCTTTCTTCTATTCGAGGGTTTCTTTTCTGTTTTGATAGGGATCTACCAAGCCCTCCCAGCTTGCAAAGAATCCCCTTCCCCCGAGAGCAAGGTAGAAGCACCCCTCAGCTTTTCTATCATTTTGTTTTTGACACTCTCAAATTATCCCTGGTTTCTTTTTACTTAGTGCAGAGAGATAACGCGCAAATCTTGTAGCAATGAACACCGACGTACCGCGATCGGCAAAGGCTGCAGGAACAACAGACCCCGTCCCAGATAAGATATGATGATGATGATGATGGTGATGATGATGACGATGATAATGATGATGATAACAATAATAATAGCAATTAACGTTATGTCCGTGTCAATAAATAAAGTGGTTACACACTAAATAAGGATACCTGTTTGAGAACTAACTAAAAAAGTAACATACGCTAACCCCACGCGATCCCAGACTAAGACCCTGTTTACATGGAGTGGGGGACCCCGGTCTAGTGGGGTAGGTTTCTTTTGTTTTGTGTCCGCCAGAGGGTGAAAACAAAAGAAACCTACCCCACTAGACCGGGGTCCCCCACTCCATGTAAACGGGGTCTAAAAGTCAAAAGCGATCACTTCTGCGCAAAGCAAATAAAATCAGTACACCCATAACCTTAGGACAAATAATGATAAATACACTAAAGATTTGTCCACAAAAAATCTTACTGATCAAGGAACAGTTTTGCTCGCAAAGGCCTAAAATTCATTCCGACTCCCCCCAAACCGGCTTCTCATAAAAACCTTTTAAAGGATTTTGAAGCATTTACTCGCTCTGTGGGCTTGCAATATCAAGAAACGGTCCAGATAAGAACGATAGCAACAACGAACATGTTGGAATGCAAAAAAGGTGCTAACTTTTCTATTGTCTGTACTTACTTCTGATTGGTTTAAACAGCAAAAGTTAACAAAACTTCATAAAGCAGTACATATATTCATCCTTACTTTCCAACCGTCTTCCATATAACAAAATCTGGTCTCAGTTTGGATAACAAAGAAATCCTATGTGGGGAACATGTAAAACTGTAAACTTTTCTTCGCTATTGTTTTCAACTCTTGTGATTGGTCAAAATCTTTTAACACCAAAAAACACCCTTTCAAAGTGGAGTCTAATGCATTTTATTGCGTACACGGCCTTCATGTAAGTTTATGCATTCTCTGTGTAAAAATGAGAACATTCCTAAGTGGGGAAAGCACCGTTCCCGCATAACAAAAGAAATTGCTATCAACCTTACCCGGATCATTACTCAATATTTTTTGCTAATTCTAAGCGCAAGCCTCACCCGTTCAATGTTAAATCTAATTGGCAAACGCCGCCAGAACCATCAGTTGCCTTAGAAAACTATTTGGAAGGCACAAAGTATGAGATTGCTTCTATTACTTTCTCTTTACTTTGAGCGGGTAACTTATCAGCAAAACAAAGACAAGAACTAAAAACTTTAAGAACTAACAGCAAAGTAAACCACTAAAAAACAGCCACTAAAGTCATAACAGTCATAAAGTAAACGCTCTTTTTACAAACGGGCATATTGACCTGCAAATGACTCACAAGTGGCTTAGTTAAGGCCAAAATCCACCACGAATATCGGAGTTCTACACGCTGACCAAGATACACAAAGCTATTTTACCTATATGCACGCGCTGCTCAATTTGTTTAGAAATGTGATGAATTACAGTAATTTATGAAAAATAGATTGAAAAGGTAAAATTACCTTGAAAATAGTGCAAGCTAGGGCCACACATACACCAACCCAGATATGCGCACAGCCATATCACGCTACAAGTAGTAGCCACGGACAGCTGTTTGGTATTTATTGGGGTTCATCAGCATGAACGGGGAAAATCCGCGAGTGCAGAGCAAAGAGTGCAAAGTGCCAGCTCCAAGCAACACATGTGGGAAGGCGGATCATGGGTTGGTGTATGTGTGCCCCTTGCTTTAAGTTTTTCTTTTGAAAATAGTGAACTAAACTGTTCTACTGCATAAATAATTTGAAGTCCCGACTTTATATAGCAAATTTTTCGAGATATTAAAGCTCGTGTTTTTGTTGCGCGCATGTCATTCTGCGTAAAATTTAGTGGTCTTATGAGCCAGTTTAGAATCCTCGAAAAATCCTATTTAAGTCTGCGAATATTCAACGTATACAGATTTATATTTGGTCCCTTTTTAAAGCAAAATAAGATTTATGGTGCGTCGATAAAGCCTTCCGAATTATTTTGCTGCAAAGACACAATAAATTTTACGGCGTTGTTTTTTCTTAGCGGCATGCAATAAAAAATTCCAGCGGGCAAATGCGACAGCTATCGCCTATGATGCAAATGAATATCCACCCGACGACTGGTTGAAGACGGGATGAGCACTGGACTCACAAACACGCGCACGGACCGTGGATTCTCGGATCTGTATTACGTGTCCGCTCGAAAACAATGCATTGTCTGTTCTGCATTGCGTCATAAATGTTGCTTACATTACTGTATGTTACATCGATTCGAGATTTTTTCTGCTCCTGGAATAATTGCGCACGGCTCTATTATGCTGCCACCTCGCAGCTGCTCGTTGGCAATAAAGCATGCAAACTAAAAAAGGTAAAGGTTTTTACTGCTGACATTTTCATTTTCATTTAGGGAAGGTCCTAAATCCCTAATCAGCAGAGTCTCCTTTATCTTGCAATGGGTGTTCGACTGTCCTCTCAGTGCCAAGATTTCGAAATGGTCTCATTTCATTTTCTGACCTGTTGACGTGATATGGTCCGCAATACCAGAGGAGTGATTGCCGCTCGTAATAGCTTTAATTTGAAGTGCTCTGTTTTTCTGTCGTGCAATCTACGTTTAGTTTGACCAATGTAGAAATCTTGGCAGTCCCAACAACTAGCCTTATTATCCGTGACCCTGGACATTTGAGCATGAAAGAGCCTGTCTGCTTTATTGTAAATCTAAATAAGGTAGAATTAAGAGGACTTCCTTTTTGGGGACTGTGATGGTTGGCTGTTTTGGTCTGTTTTCTTGCTTGAGAACATGTTGTAATTCAACACACAGCTGGGATAACCGTTTTGTAATAACAGTTTTCTCAGTTCATCCAAAGAAGAACTCAAAAGAGAGAGTGACGAGCAAATGCGGAAACAGCAATATATGGTTTATCTTGTACAGGGGCGGGGGGAGGGCGGGGGGGGGGCTACTTCCCATACATTCTCATTTTTTCCGCTGAGATTGGAAAGCCGAAACGACCGCCGAAGAGTTGAGATATCGAGTAGTGTTTTTCTGCAAACCTAAAGAAATTTAAGGTCGCTTCAAGGTACAGAGCTTTCAGTAATAGACGCAATTTGCTTATTAGGGTCGTTTGAATTTTAACTTTGAACGCAAGGTGTTTACTGATCGTTATAAACGAAGTGAAATGTTATAGACAATTATTGGATGAGGTTTTTTGTGATATCCGGAATAATCAAGGTCGAGGTAAGCGTTATCAGCCGAGCAGAAGGCCGAGACTGATAACACTTACCAAGACCTTGATTATTTAGGGTATCACAGAAACCGAATAGTAACATGCAAAACAGTATGGTAACTCGCGGTAATTTATGCACCGAGCTTGCGCCGCCTGTGGTGGTGGCAACGATTTGCCACGTGCAGAGACTAAAAATTATTGAGATCTATATGAAGATGGCTGGTGTTAACGATAACTGGCAGACGAAATTGCCTAGTATTGAAGAAAGGACACGGTTTATCTTCAACAAAGAACTCATGAGTGATGTGAAGTTTGTTTTTACCGAGGCGACTGATGACGGAAGCAAGAAGGCAAAGCTGGTGATTCCAGCTCACAAGTTTGTTCTTGCTATCAGCAGCCCAGTGTTCTATGCCATGTTGTATCATTATGGTCCAATGGCGGAAACTGGAGACTCCATTGAACTATCTGACTGTGATTATGAGAGTCTGCTAGAGCTGTTTCGCCATTTGTACGGGGATGAGGCAAATTTAAGCGAAAGCAATGTCATGCAAGTTTATTACTTGGCCGTGAAATACATGGTACCTTCCCTTGCAGCGAAATGCACAGATTATATGCATGAGACCGTGGATGGATCTAATATATTTTCCATTTTGCTGCACGCTCAGAAGTTTAAGGAAAAACAATTGGAAGATCGTTGCTGGGAGGTGTTGGCTACCAAAGCAAGCGTAGCCGTGAATTCTCATGAATTCATTACACTTGATCGACCTGTTGTTGAGTCGGTTGTGAAAAAGGAAAAGTTGTTTGTCGGAGAAGTGGAATTATTCCAGGCAGTTGATAGCTGGGCCACAAAAGAAATTGAAAGAAAAGGTCTAACTCTAAATGGAAATATAAAGCGACAAGTTTTAGGAGAAGAAATTGTGAAAGCAATAAGGTTCCCTTTGATGTCGCAGAAGGAATTTGCATCTATTGTTCTTGACAGCAACATACTTACGTTGAAAGAGGTTGTTGACATGATGAAATACTACAGTGAAGTATTAACAACGCGTCCACCGTTTCCGCAAGTTCCAAGGTCCGGTCCATTCCTGCGCTGCTTTACATTTTATCCTAATTCCGTGCCAATTAACCTCGGTTGGCAGTCCCCGGATGTTTTTTCCAGCTCACCGCGTAACAATACCATTTCGTTTGAAGCCAACAAATCAATTTTCCTCCATGGATTGCAGATCTTTGGCAAAGAAGGTAGTACATACGATGTTTCTGAAGTCAGAATTGCTGGAGGGTATTTCAATGGTGTTCCTTCTCTGTTTAAGCAGTCAGAAATA